TTTTTTTTTTGCATTGCTTCAGACACTTTTACTCACTCTGAAGATGTAACCTACTCGGGCAACAAAACATCTGCAAGAAAACAACCCAGCTGAGAGAACACCAAAGACTCCGCAAAAATGAACTTATTGTTTATGGTTTTGATGATTAGGAAAGATAGATTATAGAAGAAACCGAAGAGAAGAAACCCAGACTTGTAAGAGAAAGAGATAAATTTATAATTGTACTTAAAAGTACTGTAAAGAAGATCAGGAGCATTTCTTTGTATCTTTTTTTCTTTTCCATTTTCCTTTTCCATTTCTCCTTTCCTGCACTTATAGCTTTCTCTTTGATTTTTTTCCTTCCTATTTTATATTAGTTTGTATTAGTTTTTATCTTCCTTTTTAAAACTGTTAATAAAATTATAGAATATAAAGGTTTTTTACTGATTTCTCTGCAGAGAGCCTGATTTGGGCAATACACAATGCAAAAAGAAGAAAAAAAGAATTTGGCTAAGAAGGATCTAAAAGAAAAAGTATTTGCAATCCATAGCAATTTGCACTGATTTGTCTGTTTTGAGTATAGAATAAGGAAGCATTTAGCCCTAATGTCAATTTATTCTTTTTTTTTTTTATGTGAGCAAATCAATTCTGCTTTACTGCTATTGCCTGAAGGATTCTATTCTCCATGCAATTACATTTGAATACTCTTATATAATAACACTGTGTAGCCGACAATCAGGCAGAAACGCACTCAGCAGGTCTTTTTACAATCATCATGGCTGCTCCATCAGACCACATTTTATTATGCCAGGTCCTACTACTGTCTATTGAGGGACATTTGGAGCAGGGAAATTTCCCCAGCTGTATTACTGCATGTACTAGTTCAACAGCTTGTAACTTCCTTTGAGCTCGTGTGCTGAAGATTTAAATCTTTCTATTCTCCCCCTGGCTGAAAAGAAGAATTGACTATGCCTTAAATAATAAATGGTAGAAAAGGCCCAGCTCTAATCACCAAGTCTTCAGTACTTAACAAGATTTTAAAAGAACTGCCAGAGGGACATGCTTAGTGGATCCCAAATCTAAATGGATAAATATTCACTACCTTGACTGTGAAACCACTGTCAATTACTCTCAGTAGGCTGTTTGCTGGAGGGCTCCACCACCAGGCCCTATTGGTTTCCAGACAGGGTTATTCTATTCTCCTCAGCACAGGTTTATATTGTCACAGTATGCGTGTTTTGTTTTATTTGTGCGATGTGTGAATCTAGCCACTGTAGCTTGTAATCATAGTTTATGACTTAACATTACAAGTAAATCAGTAACTATGATTTGTTCAACAAACAATGGTTTAGCATGATGCACAAATGCATTCAGACCCATTACTGGCATTGAACACACTCAGTATTCAAAAGTATAATATTAAATCTTTTACTTCTGGGCAATGCATAAGTAGCTTTAAAAAAAAAAAAACTAGTAAAGCAGAGTTAGTAAAACCTACAATCCAAAAAAACCCAGCATTGAAATTAAAACAATGCAATGATTTTCCTTAAGCCCTAAAATAATCCTGAAATATGTATTTCTGATGAAGATTATTTTCTGTAGCATCCCGATCATTAAGATTCTCACAAACCTGTTACCTGTTCTCTTTACTGCAGTGACATCTTAACAAGTTGTGATGACATCAAAATCATAACCCATATATCACATCATGTGCTGTAAATGATTATAATGATATTATCAGCTGATGAAAGTATGTAAGTTGTTTGTGTGCTGCTATCAAGACACATGTCATTGTCTCTTTCCCTTACACTTGCACTAGACCAGGGGTAGGCAACCTTGGCTCTTTTATGACTCGTGGACTTCAACTCCCAGAATTCTGGGAGTTGAAATCCACGAGTCATAAAAGAACCAAGGTTGCCTACCCCTGCACTAGACTACCTAATTATGGCTCTATGTAGAATAGCAGGAATTAATAATCCTTTTAACCTTAAAGGCCTGGTACTAACTAGTTAGCTGGTGCAAAACTCACTATTCAAGATTAAGCTTCTTCTCCCATCATTCTTTACCAAGTTCTCCAAGAGCTAGACTAGAAGACAATGTTTGTAGCTCAGAGTTGAAATGAAGGGCCCTTGGTGCTCTCTGAGCTTGGTTGTTTTCTTGAAGATGTTTCATTACCCTAAATAGGTAACATCATCTGTGCACTGGGCTTGGGTAATGAAACATCTGCAAGAAAACAACCAAGCTCAGAGAGCACCATGAACACACACCCCATACACACACACTTTAACCTCTTCTCCCCACAAATCTCAGCTGTCTCCAGAAAGTAGCTTTAAGCTTCTCCTTCCTAAAAACTTTCCCCCTCAACAGTCTTGATAAAGCCAAAAGTGTTCTTGCCTTGCTGGTCAGTGATGGGACGTGTAAATGCCAGACAGAGCGAACTTGAGAAATATCCCTTGAAAGCAAAGGCATTTTTTCCTTGCTAAGCAGCTGAATTGCCCTCTTATGGAATCACCGACCCAGCTTGCCCTGCCTTGGGGCAGGAAAGCCATCTCAGACAGAAGGACTCTATGGCAGTAGCCTGTACTGAACAGTTAATACTGCATCTAATTTTCACAGTGACTGGCAGGCTGAGGCACTGTCTCTAGGTAGCTTAAAAAACAAGTGCCTCTGGGGGAGAGACTATGAGAGTTTTATATAATTACAAGTGACATGGAAGATTGGGAGAACGATATTTCTTTCTGCCAATTACACAATACTTGAATTCAGGATCATCTGATTAAGGTGACTGGCAGTAGGTTCAGGAATGACAATGAGAAACAGCTTTTTCAGGCACCATAAAATAGCTTATGGAAATTCATTGCCCCAAAGCAGTTGCACAGAAAATGAAAGTATTGTAGAAGAGGTTCCCAATGTTCAACCCCTGAAATCTCCCATTGAAAGGATCAGGTAGCAGATCCCTTGCAAATAGACTAGTGAAACTGTATTTTCAAAGGCGGATTAGATCACAGCTAGTACATTTAATCACGGTAAACCATCTGGAGCTGTTTTGAACTGTGCAGTGTAAAACTATATGAACTAAATAAACAAATGTTTTATAACACTTTATATTGACTAGATGACCCACTAAAACTACTGTAACCAGCTATTTGGAAATCTATGATAAGGTAAAATGAATTTTATGTACAAAAGAGACTAAGTGCAGTTACCCACAACAGTATCTTGGAAAACCTAGGCAATTGTAAACCCACTGATTTTAATAGGAAGGAATGTATATAATCAGCTTGCTGGCTTTTACTTCAATGGAAGGTCTCCTTCAGAGAAAGTGAGATGGTGGACCTTTCCCCATCCTTCAGTGAGAAATTGTCCAAAAGATGGGTTTTTTTGTCCCACATTAAGTCTCATGGGAGGCAAACGTGAGCTGGCTGACGTGATAGCCGGGGTGGCGGTTGAGACCCCTAGACTTATAGTTATGGGGGATCTCAACCTGCCATCGGCGGGCGAAACGTCAGCGGTGGCTCGGGAGTTCTTGGCCTCCATGACGACCATGGACTTGACCCAATTAGTTCATGCACCCACTCACACGGGAGGACATACACTGGATCTAATTTTTGTC